TCTCCAACTCTCCTCTTGCCTTCCAAAGTGTTGGGATTACAGGCATAAGCCACTGAGTCCATCCGAGACAGCAACTGTTACACTGGAACAGATGACTGTTTAGGATTAGCTGTACCATCCCCTCCTCCAGGAAGCCCCGTCTGCCTTCCCTGGCTGGGTCAGTTTCCCCCTTTGAGCTCCCCCACCTCAGCCCTGTACACTCTGGGGAGTCCCTGGCTGGGGATGGGTTGTCCCCCTCAGTGGACTGTGAGCCTATGAGGGCAGGGCTAGGGATGTCTTGATCACTGTGGTGAGCTAAGGGCTCCTCCCCTGGGCACCCCGCCCAGCACAAGACCAGGCGCAGTGCAGGCGCTCAGGGAAGGTTTGCAAGGCACACAAGCTCACGTGCAGATTCCACCCAAACTGGAGCATCCCAGGATACACAACACAAACGAACTCATGGGTATTTTGTTCCCATTTTACAAAACAGCTGAAGCCTAGAAGGGTTAAGTACCATGCCCAAAGTCACGCAGCTGAAATGTGGACCCAGATACTGGATATTTCAGTTTGGAAATGATGCTATTAATACCATAGACTGAGACCAGGTGCGGAGGTGGCTCACACCTGTAATCCCAGCACTTTGGGAGGCCGAGCCAGTGGGATCATTTGAGTTTAGGAGTTCGAGACCAGCCTGACCAACACGGTGAAACCGTGTCTCTAGTAAAAATACAGAATTAGCCGGGCATGGTGGCGCATGCCTGTAATCCCAGCTACTCAGGAGGCTGAGGCAGGCAAATCACTTGAACCCAGGAGATGGAGGTTGCAGTGAGCCGAGATCGCGCCATTGCACTCCAGCCTGGGAAATAAGAGTGAAACTCCGTCTCAAAAAAAAAAAAAAAAAAAAAAAAACCTAGCCAGCTGAGGCTCTAGGTGAGGAAGGACAACTCTGCGGCTCATGTATGAAGGAGAAAAGTCAGAAACATCAAACAGCAGCCGTGGCCCCTTGCAGACTTGCAGAAACCAGTCTCGTAACATCATCTGCGTTTGTCCCCTGTAATTTAGTCTCACAAAACAGCCTGAGGGATCCCTGTTGAATGTGAGTCAATTCATGTCACTCTTCTGCCCCAGGGTCCTCCCAGGACTTCTGTCTCACTCAGGGTAAAAGCTGAGGTCCAGGCCAGGCTCAGGGGCTCACGTCTGTAATCCCAGCAATTTGGGAGCCTGAGGCGGGAGGATCATGTGAGCTTGGGAGTTTGAGACCAGCCTGGGCAACATAGCGGAATGCTGTCTCTACAAAAAATACAAAAATTAACTGGGTGTGGTGGTGCATGCCTGTAGTCCCAGCTAAATGGGAGGCTGAGGCGTGAGGATCCATCACTGGAGCCTGGAAGGTCAGGGCTGCAGTGAGCTGTGATCGCACCATTGCACTCCAGCCTAGGTGAAAGAGTAAAACCCTGTCTCAGACAAAATCAAATCAAATCAAATAGCAACTCCTTTTATCCCAGCCACTCCTTATTTCTCTTAGCTTGCATTTTCCTTGATAGCATCTATTGCTGCCAGATAAATTATGTTTGGTTATTTTTTGTTTACCTTGTCCAGAATTTGCAAAAGAACAGGAACTTGCTTTTGTCCACCGCTGCATCTCCAGTGTCTAGAACAGTGCTTGGCATGAGGAGGGGATGCGTAAATACTTGTGGACTGAATTCAATAACATTCTCATTCCATCCACTCTGTCACATGTATAGATGTGTGTGTATGTGTGTGTGTGTGTATCTGTGTGTATTTTGTTGTTTTTGAGATGGAGTCTTGCTCTGTTGCCCAGGCTGGAGTGCAATGGCACGATCTTAGCTCACTGCAACCTCCGCCTCCCAGGTTCAAGTGATTCTCCTGCCTCAGCTTCCCAAGTAGCTGGGATTACAGGCACGTGCCACCACGCCTGGCTAATTTTTTTGTATTTTTAGTACAGACGGGGTTTCATTGTGTTAGGATGGTCTGGTCTTGATCTCCTGATCTCATGATATGCCCAGTTTGGCCTCCTAAAGTGCTGGGATTACAGGCATAAGCCACCACGCCTGGCCATCCTCATATATTTTAACTTGTAAGACTTTCTCTTCTGAAACTGGGCTCAAGTGATCCTCCTGCCTCGGCTTCCCAAAGTGCTGGGATTACAGGTGTGAGCCACCACGCTTGGCCAGACTTACTTTTTCATTTTCCTGAGACAGAGTTTCACTTTCGTTGCCCAGGCTGGACTGCAATGGCGTGATCTTGGCTCACTGCAATCTCGGCCTCCCAAGTTCAAGCAATTCTCCTGCCTCAGCCTTCCAAGTAGCTGGAGTTACAGGCATGTACCATCACGCCCAACTAACGTTGTATTTTTAGTAGACGTGGGGTTTTTCCATGTTGGCCAGGCTGGTTTCAAACCCCTGACCTCAGGTGATCCACCCACCTCAGCCTCCCAAAGTGTTGGATTACAGGCATGAGCCACTTCACCCAGCCCCTTCCACACTTTTGAATATTGCAAAAGAATCAGGAATTGGCCATCTGTTTCAGCCATGCATGGCAACTGGGACAGATTCTGTTTTCCAAAGATGGCTACAACAATCTTTTTTTTCCTTTTTGAGACAGGGTCTTGGTCTGTCACCTAGGTTGGAGTGCAATGGCATGATCGTGGTTCACTGCAGCCTCGTCCTCCACGACTCAAGTGATCCTCTCACCTCAGCCTCCTGAGTAGCTGTGAGTACAGGTGTGTGCCACCACTCCTAGTTTTGTTTTTTGGTAGGAATGGGGTTTCACCACGTTGCAACAATCTCTTTCATCCCACATGTGTTTCTACAATCAGAGCCTGATACTCTTTCCATCAAGAGGTGGGGTCCATGGCACCCTTCTCTCAAATCTGTGCAGTTTGGTGACTTGCATGTAACCAACAGAATTCAGCTGAAGAGAAGTTGTGGAATCCCCAAACTGAGCTAGAAAAGGCCAAGTAGCTTCTGCCTGGGTCTTCAGCAGCCATATAAACAGTCTGACTACCTTGAGGCAGCCATGCTGTGGGGAAGCCCAAGCTGACCAGTGCAGAGACCACATGGTGGGGGAGGCCCTGAGACCACAAAGAGATGCCCACCTGTCCGGCACCTGCAGCCACCCTGCTTCAAGCATCACTGATTGCACCATTTGCATCCCGAGCCGGAACGAACCAGCCATGCCTTTCTCCAAATCCTGGCTCACAGCAACCGTAAGACCTAATGCAATGATTGCTGCTGTTTGCGGCCAAGTTGTGAAGTGATTTGTTACCGGCCACAGCTAATGAGAAGAGCAGCCACATCCTGTTCCTGGCGCAGCAGAGGCAGCAAGACAACTACAATGTTCTGTGGTCATCACTAGCATGACCCCATCAGACGGGTTCTGGGTGTGACTGTGGCTGTGGCACCACTACTGGCCAGCAGCCAGGATTCTTCCTGCTCACTTCCCAATCCTGATTCCCAGTTCACTCCTGGGATTTTGCGAGCGACCCCAGATCCTCTCCATAAATTCCCTTTCTGCCCCTGAGGTGGCGTCTGTTGCTCGGAACTAAATCTGTGATACATTCTTTCAAGCCTTTGGTCCGTTGGAATATTTTTCATCATTCAAAAAATTTTCTTTTCCTTTTTGAGACAGGGTCTTGCTCTGTTGCCCAGGCCGGAGTGCAGTGGTGTAATCTCAGCTCACTGCAGCCTTGACCTCCCGGGCTCAAGCCATCCTCCCACCTTAGCCTCCTGAGTAGCTAGGACTTACAGATATGTGCCACCATGCCTGGCTAATTTTTCCAAAATTTTTTGTAGAGGTGGAGTTTCATCATGCTGCTCAGGCTGGTCTCAAACTTCTGAGCTCAAGTGACCCGCCTGCCTCAACCTTCCGAAGTGCTGGGATTACAGCCATGAGCCACCACATCTGACTTCATCATCTTTGAAGTCTCCACTCAGACACTGCCTCTTCCTGGAAGCACTCTCTGACCTCCCAGGCTGACTCAGCTGCCCCCGCTAGGTTCCTACAACCCCCTGGGATTCCCTACCCCAGTCGTGCTCACTCTGGGTCATCACTATCTAGGTACAGGTCTCTTCTCTCTACTGGAAGGTGAGCCCTAGTGGGACAGTGATCGAGGCTTCCTGACCAGCATTTTAAACAAGGTGGAGGGAGGCTTCGGTCACTCCAAGATGAGTCATGAGGTGGTATCTCTTCTTCCTCAGCAAGAGTTAGACTGGAAATTACCAGTTATTCTGGGAGAAAGATGTCAGAGAGGAAGGAAGGACAGAGAGAGGGGTAAGAGCAGAGCGTGGCAGGGCAGGGTAGATGGCCATCAGGAAAATGTGTGGGCATTTTCACCAGAGACTTAACCTGGATGTCTGGGGCTGGGTCTAGGGATGATTTTTTTTCCTGTGATGGAGGGGGAAGGTTGGATGCCTGATTCTCTGAGAACTTGGGATTCTAGACTCCCAAATCCTGAGAGCAGGACTTCTGGGTATCACAGAGAAGCCTGGGGGCCCAGTTTCCTTTTTCTCCTCTTTTTTCTTTAAAGACAGGGTCTCGGCCTGTCGCCCAGGCTGGAGTGCTGTGGTGTGATCACAGCTCCTTGCAACGTTGGCTTCCCAGGCTCAGTCTTTCCCTTTTGGCCTCCCAAAGCCTTGGAATTACAAGTGTGAGCACTGTGCCGGATCCCAGATTTCATTAGAAGATCGGAGGGTGGAGGGGGCTGGGGGCCTGGACTCCTGGGTCTGAGGGTGGAGGGACTGGGGCCTGGACTCCTGGGTCTGAGGGAGGAGGGGCTGGGGCCTGGACTCCTGGGTCTGAGGGAGGAGGGGCTGGGGTCTGGACTCCTGGGTCTGAGGGAGGAGGGGCTGGGGGCCTGGACTCCTGGGTCTGAGGGAGGAAGGGCTGGGGTCTGGACTCCTGTGGGTCAGGTGGGGACCAGGCCCTGGGGACTGCCGTTTCCCAGTGCCTGCTGCTCTGTGCTACCCCCTGCTGGCCACTGCACTCTTTGCACCCTGGAGGACAGAGCAGGCTTGGCAGTTTATTTCCTATTCACCACCCCCTTCCAGACCCTGGGGTTCCCGTTAGCAGCACATCTCAGGGCCCTGCAGGCGGAGAGAGGAGTGGGTTAGATTAGGGCACTTGCAGGTGGAGGAGGTGGAGGAGGGGGAGTGGGCCAGGGAGGGTTAGGAGAGTGGACTCACCTGCCTCAGGCGGGGGCAGGGTCCTGGGCTCCCAGGGCAGCTGGAGGGGAGTTCCCCTTTAGAAGTTTCTGCAATGGAGAGCATTTGAGAGGGTGGTTGAGTCTCGGCATCCAGCCTTTCCTGCTTCTCCTCTTCCCTGTCCCCTTTATCTGGGACCTGGGAGTCCCAGAGCACCCTTCCAGGCCCTCCACTTACTCTGTAGCCCCTTCCCTGGCCTGGGGGCTGGAGGTGGCTTCTGGTGGGGCTGAGGCCACAGTCTTAATTCTTGGCAAGGGAAGAGGGGCCCGAAGTCTGGGGAAGGCCACAGGTGCCTGGGGGGAGGGGAGAAGATGAAGAAAGGTCCCGCTAGCTGCAGCCTGGGGCCTGGGGACGTCATTTCAGAGGACCTGGACAGGGGGACACATGACCGGACCCCCGGCCTTGTCCCCAGCCCATGCTGCCTTTTCCCTCTCGCCTCTAACTTGTGTAGGAAGAAGTTTGTCTGTTCACCTGTCCATCCATGTGTCCATCCCTTCTGCTCACTCCTGCGCCCCACACACGCCCCGAGCCTCTCCAATAGGACGGGCCTTCTCTCCCTTTCCCCTTCCCTGTCCCCTTCCTTCCTTTCCTTCCTTCCTTTCTTTTCCTTTTTCTTTCCTCTTTTTCATTCTTTTTTTTTTCTCTCTCTCCGTCTCTCTTCCTCCCTCCCTTCCTCCTTCTCTTCTTTCCTTCTTTTTAAAAACAAAAACAAACAAACAAAAAAAAACAGGCGCCAGTCACCGTGGCTCACATCTGTAATCCCAACACTTTGGGAGGCCGAGGTGGGCGGATCATCTGAGGTCAGGAGTTTGAGACCAGCCTGGTCAACATGGTGAAAAACCAGTCTCTACTAACAATACAAAATTAGCCAGCCGTGGAGGCATGCACCTGTAGTCCCAGCTACTTGGGAGGCTGAGGCAGGAGAATCGCTTGAACCCAGGAGGCAGAGGTTGCAGTGAGCTGAGATCATGCCACTGCACTCAGCCTGGGCAACAGAGCGAGACTCCGTCTCAAAAAAACCAAAAACCAAAAAACGAAAACAAAGTCTCACTCTGTTGCCTAGGCTGAAATGCAGCGATGCGACACAGCTCAGTGCAGCTCTGACCTCCTGGCCTCAAACCATCTTCCCACCTCAGCCTCCCAAAGTGCTGGGATTACAGGCAGGAGCCACTGCTCCAGGCCAAGGCCCTGTTCTCAGCTCTGAGAAGACAGCCATGAATAAGATGAGAAACTATCTTTGTCCTGGCGGAGCTGATGCTCTACTGAGCCTGAGCCTTGCAGTGACTGATCAGCTCCTGAAGAAGGCAATGCCTCAGAGCGTGTTCCATGTCCTGCAGAGCGCCTGGGAGAGAGGAAGATGCAGGGAAGCCTCTTGGAGATGGGATGACCCAGCTGATGCCTGAGTGCAAGAAGGAGCCAGAGGCTCCCAGTGGGTGGGGCCGGCTGACTAGCTGGAAGGGCAGCGAGCGTCCAGTGCTGCTGGAAAGGAGGTGGAGTGGGGGAGGTCAAGAGGTGGGGAAGGAGGTCACGTCTCCAGTCCCAGGTCTTTAGAGAGTCAAGAGGACTCTGGCTTGAGTTCTTGGAGCCCTGGGGAGGCAGTAGGAGTTTCCTCCTTTGTCTTTTTTTGAGATGGAGTTTTTGCTGCGTCACCCAGCCTGAGTGCAGTGGCACCATCTTGGCTCACTGCAGCTTTCAGCTCCTGGGTTCAAGTGATTCTCCTGCCTCAGTCGCCCGAGTAGCTGGGATTACGGGCGCTGGCCACCACACCCAGCTAATTTTTGTATTTTTTAGTAGAAATGGGGTTTCACTATGTTGGCTGTGGTCTTGAACTCCTCACCTAAAGCGATCTATCCACCTCAGCCTCCCAAAGTGCGGAGATTACAGGTGTGAACCACCGCGCCCGGCCGCCAGTGGGGATTTCTGAGACGTGAGGGATATGACCCAGGTTACAGATGACTGATCTCGCTGGCCTCATCAAAACTCATGGAGAGGGTAGACGAAGCGGCTAATACCAGTAATCCCAGCACTTTGGGAGGCTGAGGCAGGAGGACCACTTAGGCCAGGAGTTACAGACTAACTTGGGCAACACAGTGAAACTCTGTCTCTAATTAAATCAAAAACTTTAAAAAGGCCGGGCTGAGTGGCTCACGCCTATAATCCCAGCAATTTGGGAGGCTGAGGTGGGCAGATCATGAGGTCAAGAGATCAAGACCACCCTGGCCAACATGGTGAAAACCCATCTCAACTAAAAATACAAAAATTAGCTGAGTGTGGGGGCCTGTGCCTGTAGTCCCAGCTACTCGTGAGGCTGAGGCAGAACTGCTTGAACCCGGGAGTCAGAGGTTGCTGTGAGCTGAGATCGTGCCATTGCACTCCAGCCTGGCGACAGAGCAAGACTCTGTCTCAAAAGAAAACAAAAACCAGCCCGTGGGGCTTGTGCCAGGCTGGTCCCCGTTATCCCCATGGATACCCTGAGGGCCAGAGAGATCCCCAGTGGTCAGTGGGGTGAGGAGATGCAGCTCAATGGCAGTGTTGAATCCGAAAGGTAGGTTTCTCAGATGGAGAAAGCAGTGTGCAGAGAGCAAGCCCAGTGGACACAGCACCATACACAGATCACAACCACAGTGACACTGCCCACTGACACAGTCCCACCACATCCAGTGTCCACAGCAGCTCCACCCCCATCTCTGAAAAACAATTTAAAAATGAGCCAGGTGTGGTGATGTGCACCTGTGGTCCCACCTACTCTGGGGGCTAAGAAGGGAGGATCACTTGAGCCTAGGAGATTGAGGCCATAGTGAGCTGTGACTGCACCACTGCACTCCAGCCTGGGTGACAGAGGCCCCATTTAAAAAAAAAGAAAAAAGCAGTGCCTGGTACCTAGCAAAAGTTACGACAGGCCGGGTGCGGTGGCTCACACCTGTAATCCCAGCACTTTGGGAGGCCAAGGCGGGTGGATCACCTGAGGTCAAGAGTGTGAGACCACCCTGGCCAACACGGTGAAGCCCCGTCTCTACTAAAAATACAAAAATTAGCCTGGTGTGATGGTAGGCACCTGTCGTCCCAGCTACTTGGGAGGCTGAGGCACAAGAATCGCTTGAACCCGGGAGGCGGAGGTTGCAGTGAGCCAGGATCATGTTACTCCTGCACTCCAGCCTGGGTGACAAGAGCAAAACTCCATCTCAAAACAGAAAAAAAAAAGTGATGACAGTTGCCTTGCTGAGAAGCAGCAAACCCAAGGCTGTCTCTTCCGTGGTATGTTCTGAAGAATGAGAG